TTCCACAAGGGTTTTGAAATCTAAGTTAAAGCTATAGACAAATAAAGCTGAGCAGGAAGAAAGCCTGTGTAAAAGTATACAACCTGGCACACCTCTTGATCTTATACCATTTTTACTGCATCTTAAATATTTGCCACTTTTTTCTTTCAAATTGTCTTTTTTCTTTTCCCTTTTGTGGCTTTGAGAGATAAGTCCTTGTCTTGCCATATTTATTTTGCAAACTGATGTTCAGGCTGACATTTAGAAGACATATTTTATCAGGCTACAAACACATGTTTTTAGACATGTCTTAGATTCATGTTTATTGCCAAAGGTGGCTTCTCAGAGTTCATGTTAATAATTTATCATCCAATTCTGCATCTCAGTTACAGAAGGTAGTATTGATATATTCTTTTAGTTTTCACTTGCCTCAGCTCTAATTTGGTTTGTTGCCGATAACCAGTCTCCAAAGACTGGGGTTTTACTATGTTAGTACTTGAGAAGATAGTTTAATGTATTTAATGAATCGATAACTGCAGCTGCAGTGGATTGACTCCACAGAGCAGTGACCTTCTTTTCTATGGCATGTATCAAGAAAAGATTTTAAGACTTAAGAACCTGAAATGGAGTTGGAGCTAGAAATATACTCTCATTGCTAAACGTTCAGTATTGTGAAAGCCTGCGGGAATAACTCAAGCCACTGCTTTCCACTAGAGATGGAAACTAAGCATTAAGAACTTGTGTACTACATAAACTCTGTTTCACTGGTACCTGCTTAAAGAATCATCTGTTCTTCTAGATGTGAATTTTGTATAGGGCTGGGTTCCTTTAAACTAGACTCTTTGCCTTAATTCAGAACTAAAACTGTTCTGATCCTGAAATAAGCTGTGCTTGAATGAGAAGCTTTGATTCAATTTTTGTTCTGTCATTTAAAATGCTTTTTAGAACAGACCAACATGCCAAAGATAGTAGAATCCAAATTAAATTATACACTAAATTTCAAGCTTCTGACTCAATCAGTCAATCTGGTCAGATTCTTGGTAAGTTATACAGTAATATTAATGGAGCCCTATCTGCTTTCTAAATAAAGAAATATAATGTTTCATTATAGATGTTAGAAGACATTTTCCTTTCATGGTTCCTAAGCAATTCATGTACGTATACAATTTATGTATATGTTGGAAGTAATTCCTATAAAAAAGCATCATCGTAGTATATCAAAAATGTTTTTCTTTGAGAGTGTATTTCATGCATTTTCATACAGAATCCAAATCTCTGGTGTTATTTTTGTTAATACAGAAATATCGCATGCTGGCCATGGCATTTACAAATGCTAGACACTTTCATGCAGTTTTTTATTTCTCTCTATAGAAACTATGGGCTTTGTGTATTAAATCTTATTTGCAGGTCTTGAATCCTGAAGTACCTCTCAAACCAGTGTGAGTGATTAATTGCTTGGGTTCTATTCTTGATATGTTGCACAGGAGGTGTAAAAAGCTAATTTTTATGTTTACAGAATTGATTCATCATTATAGGGGTAGAAAAGCAAATCTTACCAATGGTCCTCATAAGTTAACCTTATGCATCAATATAAAATTATGTGTTACATCCTAAATTGCATTATGTTGAAGGCTACTACTAATCAGCTAAAGTATGGCAGCTAAACTATGCTAAACACCTGCTTCAGTGACAGCTGGAGTTTAATCAGGTCCCTACCAAGCAGGTTCCTTTCAATAATATTCACAATCATACATCAACACAAGAGAAGCACATTGTGCAAGTATATAATGAGCTATATTAAACAAAATAGGAAATGGAACATGAAAAATTACAGACATTGGCCTTTAATAGACTGCAAGCTGTGACATCTATCACAGCAGTGGCTTTGTGAGTGCTTGCAGGATGGTACATATGCTGGACATCCCTTTAATTGCTAGAATTTCACACAGTTTGAAAATCAGCACTGTCATTTGAAGTGAACGAGCAATTCTGTTCTCAGCTTTCAAACTCAAGCACCAGCAAATTTGTGTGTGTTTGAATGCATGTTAATGTACTCAAGTTACATGCATGTGTACTTGAGGTACATCTCCTTTCATTCTAGTGAGAGACATGTATTACTGCAATCTGATGTCCTGAGAATGACACAGTAGTTCAAACCAGTTGCTCTGAAGCTCCCTCCATCCACATTATCTGTGGTTTGGGGGGAGAGTTACTTGGTGTTGGACTCGAAGTCTGGGGCTGCAAGCTCTCACCATTCACGTGGTCTAAAGCTGTCAGAGAGCAGAACTAATCCTCCCTGACTTCCCTGTATGTGAGGAAGATGTACAGACTCCCACCAAGTCAAAAGTTTCCTGGATCCCCGTCTCACACTGCGGTAATGCTGTGGTACACTGGGCTCCCAGCACTGCATTACAAATGATGGTGTGTTTGCCGAGATGGCAGAGCAATCCTTTCTCTCCCTGCCACGGCCAGTGCTCAGATCCCTCCCTGAGAGGGCACTGACCACACACGCCGAGAGAAAGGTAACCCCTCTCTCTTGGCCTGAGGTGGGGAAGGGTGAGCAATAGTGTGAAGGCAGCCAGAGCAAGAAAAGGAGGAGGAGAAGGAGGAGGTAATGAGTTCTTCACTATCATTGAAACAAAAGGGGGAAATTTATCAGTAATGATGGACCAGAAATATGAAGATGTGAAGAGAAGCTGTAAAAAAAAGCCAGGCTTTTCTCAATGGTGGCCACTGAGGGGACAAGAGGAGTATGAGGAAACACTTTTTACTGTGAAGATGACCAAGCATTGGCACAGATTTTCCAGAGAGGTTGTGGAGTCTCCACCTTGGAGGTGTTCAAAAGCCATCTGGACACAGACCAGTGCACGCAGCTCAAGGTGGCTCTGCTTAACCAGACAGGGTGCTCAAGAGGACCCCCAGAGATCCCTTCCAGACTCAGCCATTCTGTGATTTATTGACTGAACTTTGAATATGCAATTTCAAAACTTTTACTTCACATGAGGAAAACACTGTTATGAATAACAATCATTTCCCCACCTAAAATTAGGTGCTTAATAAATTAATTGTTTTGGAAGAGAGTCAGATTTTGAGTGCTTAAATCACTCACATTAGTACAAAACAGTAATCAGTCTAATAGTGTAGTGTTCTTAAATGTCAAAATAGTAACTGCCTTAATAGTGAACTGTTAACAGTTAGATACATTCAGTTTGCTAACTGCAGTAACTTAGAATTATATGGTGCAGGACAGAAAAAGGCAAGATACTGTGAAGTATAGACAGCCCCACTCACTAAGGCTATGAGAAATTTTTTTTAAAATATTATTTTCAATATAAACAATTTTGCTTTTAAAAAAATATTTGTGTTTTTGCACAAGTCTCCATTTTATAGTGTGAGCTTATAAATACAGTCCTAGCTGTTTGATATTTTGGTGCCTAGAATGGTCAAGTGGCCATTTTTACTCAACCTCCTACAAGTATTGAGTCAGTTAAGACCTGACTACAGCTCTTACATACATCTATGTCTTTATACTTTTGATGCAAAGCTGGAGTTTGAAAATTAAAATGAAGAGTCAAATATAGATTATAGGAGAAACCTCTGTTCAAAACTTCAAAATTCCCATTTTTTAAATATAGCTGAGAAAAATTTTAATAAATTATCACATAATTTTCTACAGATCTGGAGAGGATTTTTCTGTGTACTATCCCATTCTGACTGGCTGTTAACTTACATCCTTAGGAAATACATGACATGAGGTGAAAGAGATCATAAGAGGTTTTTCTATCCTGAGCCCTCAAAGTTCTCAACTTTGATGACAGAAAACCAGAATTTTAAAATTTGTTTTTTCATTCCTTCATCTCTTGGAATTTCTGTTATGATATGGTGTGGCATCTGAAAATCTATGGGATTGGCAGCTTTTTGGAATAGTGTAGATGACTGGCACGAGACTACATTTAGAAAAGGAATGACTATTACCCCGGAAATAAGCAATTATTCATAATGTTAATATAGAAGCATCTGCTGCTGCTTCCTGATGTTAAACCTCTTGCTATATTTCCTTTAATTTTATTTACAAGAATCTGGATTTGCATGTAAGGAAAGATTTTGTTGTTTATTCTCATGGACAAGACTTAATCATCAAGTATTTACTTAAAACTTATATTTTATAAGTTATAAAACTTTTACTTGTTATATTATCCTATATTCTTTGGAATACAATGCCTTCATACAGTGCACATAGAAATAAACCATGCCATCAATCAGGTTAAGTGACAGCAGACAGTTTTTAGAATTACAATATAGTGTTAAAAATTAATCTCAGTGTAGCAGAGTATATCACAGTCTTAAAGTGGATAAGGAAACATTATCCCAACCAGATAGCATGACACATGGAGCAGAGGGGTTCAGGGAGTGTTTCAGGAAAGTAACTGGAAATGAGAAGCCAAGCTTAACTGTGTCCCTTACTTAGAGTTCACAGTCACATTTCAGAATGTGGCACAGGTCATATTTCCCCTTCATGGATTTGGGACCTCTAGTCTGGAATGGCTGTGCTGAAGAAATATGCCCCCCTTCATTCAGTTCCTAAGGATTTGGGGACCTCTAGTCTGGAATGGCTGTGCTGAAGAAAACTTGTTATCACAGAGTTTCCTATAAGCAGAGATAAAACTAACAAGGCAGGCAAAAGCCATCTCTCCCAAGGTGAAAGAACTCTTTGGATCCTTGGTACAGACACTTTTTAAAAGCAAATTGGTGTGTTTAGCATCAGAAGGTACTTCTTTCTTCTTCCCTATCTGCCAGCTTCTTGAGAAGTGTGTCTTATACTGAAACCACCCAAGATATAAGAAAAGGGTTCAGTTGTAAAAGATTTCTTTTCAAAAGGCAACTTGTCTGTGAAACTAGTCCTGCCATTGACAGAATGACAGCTACAGAATCAGTGGACAGTGCCCTGGTGCACTCTGCTCTGGGTCATTTGGAGTCTTTATTTGGTTTCCAATAAAAGCAATTGTAACGTTGCACCATAAAAATATAAAAAGACATTTTATTAAACTATCCTTTGCCAGCTTCTCCTAGCAGATCTAACATGGCTATACAATTGTGTACATTTCTTGGAAGATCTGACACTTCCTTTAGTTCTGAATTTAGCCAGAGAATCACAGCTGCTTATGACATAATATTAACTCTACAATTTGACCTTACTAGGCTAAATTCGAGGGTAATGTTGAATAAAAGAGAAAGTTGGATATGAAGTGAGTCACTCTGTAACATGGTGTAACCTACATGGAGAAGTTGTGAGTAAATTGGGCCAACTGGGTGAAAGTATTTAAAACCAGATAAAATGTAAATTCCAGAGGACACAAAATTGGCTACAATAGAAATGAGGGGGAAGGAAGACTATCCAATAATGTCTCTGCTATGCCTTACTTTTAGGCTGCATATGCTGCTATCAATTTATGCTCACACAGAGCAACTAACCTTAATTAAAACATCACCATTCAATTTATTCTGTATCTGGGCATTTGCATTACACAGAAAAAAAATATTTTATTTGCCAAGGAATACAGCAATCAAGATGAATACTAATGATCATATAATCCATAGTTCACACAAGCAAAGAGCTGCAGTATTATCCCAAGTTTTGCATGTTTTTTTTTCCTAGAGAATGTCATGTCATGATTGAAATACTCCAGATATTGTCATTATGGCATCCTGTGGGAAAAAGTTATTTGATGTAGTTTAGTAATGCTGTTCTGTAAACAAGAGGCAAAATGTGAGTACCACATGCAAGCTATATTTATATAATTTAAATATCTTTTGAGTCTAACTAGTTCTCAGAAGCAAGAGTAAATTCATTATTATCAAGGTAATATATGCTCAGATGCATATATGCATATAAGCACTTATTCTGTGGGGATGATAATATTTTACCTTCTCATTGTTTCTTTTTGACTTTTCAGGCAAGAAGAAAAGAAAAAGTCCCAGTCCAGTGAAAGACCCATGAAAGATGAACGGATTTTAAACCTGCAGAAGAAGATTACAGAAAAAACAATGGAGCGTAAAAAGCAAGCAGGACTCTTGAAGATTAGCCCCCAGAAAACCAGAATGGTGTCAAGCAAGGTCTGGTTATTACATAAGGAGAAAAGATCTGCAATAGACCTGCTGTTCACAGACCTTTGCTCAACTGCCAGCACTGGCATGGGGGCAGAGGCAGATGGTGCCATACATGGCTGGCAATAACAACACCCTGCCTCCTGCCTAGGCACAATTTCTCCAGCCGTGGCCTTGACCTCACCTTCTTTTCACATGTTCTGCAGTCACAGAGAAGGACTCATCCATTCAACACCTGCCTTCACACTCCTACCACCACACACTCGATATCCCATCAAGACAGCGTCTTACCCCATCTCCAACTCTTGTCTTTCCCAGCTTCCCATCACACACATCCCATCACACCACACTGGGATGCTCACCCCTCTCCCACCCAAGGCATGTTGCAGTTTATCATTCCCATGGTTTTGTGGAGAGTTGCAGCGGTGTTTAAGTCATTTTAAACTGGGCAACCTACTCTGTTCATCACACCAAGTTTGATGCTAACAAGTTTCCCAATCATGTGAGCAAACAAACAGTGTTGTCAGTCAGCACATTATCAAATAGAAGTATATTCACTAAAGAGGAAACGTATCACTGTATAACCTGCAGTCTGATCATCTCTGTGTCTTTCCTGCAGGATTCTTTTCAATGGAACCACTGGAAAGAACTGGAGGAGAGTCGGGAAAGACAGTTCAGAATCCTTCAGCATGGCTTCATGGACAGGGAGGCAGCTCAGAAAAGGGAGCTCATTGTAGCAGCAAGAAGTGGAGCCAAAGCCTGTGTACTGCGCTCTGATCTGAGATAAAATACATTTGGAACAAATTCAGGCCTGCTGGAAATATCCCAGTGTACCTATTTACTACAAGGTTGAATTGTATTCTTTATTTCACCTTTACAGTGTGATTAGAAAAATGGGGGTCTTACAGGCACAATAGAATAAAAATGTGCATAATATAATTTAATTTTTTATGTTATTTTATAATGATAAAATGATTAATTACATAATGATTTTTTTCTGCTAGAATCAAAAGCTTTAAGAAACATTATCATCAGAGCTCCTACAGCATAATAGCAAATATCTGTGTAAGAATGTTGAGGCCTGTATTTCTGGTTTTGTATACTATGCCATGGTTTGCTACACTCATTTTTCCAAAAGAATAAAAATGAGGGCAAACCCCAAGGAATATTTATTTACATTATGCATCTTTTCAGAAGGCATGGTCAGCCCAAGTTCCTAAAATGCCTTCTTACATGACTGTAACTATGTAAGAGGATTGCCAGTTTCAACGCTGTTTTAGAGGATGAGGGAAAAACTGTTTAGAAGGTTTAGATGATGTGAAAGCCTCCAGAAGTCAGAGTCTAGATTCAATGACCCAGGCAGGCCATCTCTCTATTTGCAGATGTAAATTTCTTCAGTCTTTAAACAGTAAAAGGAGAACATAACATTGATCTCTTTAGGGAGCTGCTTCCAGAAGAAGTAAAAACTGTTACTCACCTAGAAGACAATTTGCCCTCTGACAATTTCTATACTGTGTAAAACAGCCTTTAAATCACAAAACTTATCCAGGCACAAAGCCAAGGAGGATATAAATCAAAATTAAAATCCGCCCAGCAGTAAGACTATGTAATGTATTTTTATTTTAACTCAATGCCAGTTACTAAGTGTTTAATTATGGCTATTGCAAATATTTAAATTGAAGGAGACTGTCGCTGACATTAGAGTCAGGCAGCTGCTTCTAATGCTCTCACAACATTGCATTTCTCACTTTTTATTGAAGGAGGTCTAATGGAATTCTTTTATTGCCATCTAGCTGTGAAGATCACTTCCACAACCCACAAGCTGATAAAATGTGCTTTATTTTTCACTCCAAGTAAATGCTCTAATAGTCTAGAAAGGCAATGCAGGTAGGGCTCATGCTCCAGAGCAAGAATTAAGGAACACAGGAGAGTGAAAAGAAGGAATCATAGAGGTAGAACTACATAGAAAAGGGAACTATGACACCATGTCTAGTACAGTATTGTATATCTTTAAATGACAAACCCTTGGTGGCAGGGAGTTTGTTTTCCTTTGTGGTTGTTCAGCATTCTTTTACACTGCATTCCAGAGCAACAAAGCTAACTGGTGACTCTCAACACCTTGATTTTCCAGAAGCCAGCAATTAACAGCTGACGCTCATGGTCTAGTATATTGCACAGCTGAACAGTTCTCAAACCTTTTGCATCATTAAGCTGATATTGAGATTGTGGAAATTTCAAATCCCCATCACACTGCAGGCTTCTTCCCCTGTGATTTTAGACCAAGTTTTCAAAATTCTTATTGAATTGCAATCAAGCTGATTCAGAATTATTTCCTTCTCTATATTTTCTTTGCTCTCAAATGAAAGGACTGAGGAATAGATGAATCTCAATAATCCAGCTGTGGAATTTTTGCCTTCAGAGATCACAAATAGCCCTATTGCTACTTTGGGATCTGATGCATAAAGTCACCTTCAGAATCAACATTTTGAGGAATGTAAACTAATGTGTTTTGAAGAAAATACCAATATATTCCTATACTGGTATTTTTGTATCAATATAGCCTATTGATTTTTCAGTGATGGCAGGCCTTGCAACAGAATACACAGAATAACATAAAAAATACCACCTTGCTCCTGACAAATGTGTATAATTTGATGCTGAACACAGCAGATCCTATCCAGAACCACTCTGTCTTGGCTTCTAGAGGACATTCCCTAGTATTCCTGTGTGGTACATGGAAACCTGAGGTGAGCAATGCAGAGCAATCAAAGGTCTGGTGGGACTTGTTAGCCTTGTGTTACAAAAGCAGCTGCAGTGGCACTGGAGCCAGGTGAGCTGTGAAGGCACTCAGCTCACTGAGACTTGCTGCCTCAGCTGGTGCCTGTGGCAGGGACCATCCACCACCTGCTGCAGCCACACACAGATAACCGAGGGAGCAACGCCTCTACACTTGCTGCACGGAAACACAGGTGGATGAATAATTCATGATTCATTCATTTACACATTTGTAACACCATTTGCAGCCAAGAAGATGAACTTGAGTGAGGAAGGCTGACTCTGAAATCGTCCATCAAAACAGAGGAACAAAGTCAGAGGTTGCACCTGTCTGATCGTAGTGACAGACTTGTAAGGAAACATTTGTAGTGCTGGAAGCTGCACATTCAGAGATCTCTGATTTCAGCACAAACAGCCAGACCACAGAAGCCTTCACATGCCACTACAGTGTAAGGAGGTGTAACAAACTCCAGATTATCTGAGGAAGACCAAGGGGTTTTGCCATGTGATAGGCACCTGAGTGGGGCACTCCCCACTCATGTGACATGGTCACTGCTGGCGGCATTTGGCTCCCTCTTCTACACACTCAGTGACTGCCATGTCAGGTAATCCAAACTGCCCTAGAGAACATAGGTGTTTTATTATTTCAATGAAATTAAAGACACAGAGATGGTTATGTTGAATGGCAGGGAAAAAAATACCTAGTGCAAATTTACAGTACTCCTCTCCCAGAGGAGGAGAAGGGAAGACAAGTCACTAGGGGAAGCTAGTGACTTGTTCATCTATAAACAGCCAAATTGTCAGGCACAGGGCAGTAAATCAGAGAAGGTCAGCTGCTTATTGTGCTAAGGTAAAACTGTTGGAGAAAACCTTTTTGATAGTGAGGTGAGGGTCTTGAAACACCTCTGCAAGTGTTTATAAGTTAGACATTGGATCTGGAGTAATTATTCCATGGGTAAAAGGTAACTATCTCTGATGAATTTTGCTCTGTCTGTTGAAAGCACACTGAGAAAAATAATTTCTTCACAGAAAGGTGATTTGATATTGGAATGGACTGTCCAGGGAGGTAGTGGAGTGACCATCCCTGGGGATGTTTAAGGAAATACTGGACATGGCCATGGTCTTGTCAGCAAAAATCGAGACTAAAACTCCTTAACACCAATACAGTGTTAAGAAGCAAGCATTACTTTAGTACAACACCAGATGCACAGGGGATAATTTGGCCTAATGTGCATGCCTGGCTGAAGATGATATATGTGTTTATTAGCCAGAGATCACAGAATATGCTGAGTTGGAAGGGACCCACAAGGATCATTGAGCCCACTTCCTGGCCCTGCACAGCACCATCCCCAAGAATCACATCATGTGATTGTCCTGAGAGCATTGTCCAAACACTCCTTGAGCTCTGTCAGGCTGGTGCCATGACCACTTCCCTGGGAAACCTGTTCCACTGGCCAACCATCCCCTGGGTGAAGAACCTTTTTCTAATATTCAACCTAAACCTCCTCTGACACAGCTTCAGGCCGTTCCTTGGGTCCTGTCACTCACCAAAGAGCAGAAATCAGTGCCTGTCCCTCCTCTTCCCCTCATGAAGAAGCTGTAACTGCAATGAGGTCTCTGTCTTCTCAGGCTCCTCTTCTCCAGGCTGCACAGAGCAAGTGCCCTCAGCTGTTACTCACACGGCTTCCCCTCAAGGCACTTCACCATATTTGTCACCCTCCTTTGGATGCCCTCTATTAGTTTAATATCTTCCTTATATTGTGGTGTAATATTAATCAGAGAAGTGTTAGATATGAAGTTGCCTGGGTTTGCCCAGTGAGCCTCAGAGGGGCCTCTTGAGGGTCTTTAGGAACCCCTGGTGGTCTGCCACGTATGGTGTTGGTTTTCGCCCTCGATATAAAAGCTGCACAATGTTTCTGAAGGAACTGGATTGTTACAAGGTGCAGTAACCACCACACAGATCTATTAAGTGTTCCTTCTGCACGAGCAGTTTATAACACTCTGGTTGACATGGTGGTGTTCAGTGATCAGTCAGAGTTGATGATCTCGAAGGTCTTTCCCGACCTAATTGATTCCACGAATCTGAGATTCTGCAAAACGTTTCCAGAAGACGGGGAGGGGGAAGGGGAAGGGGGGGGGGCTAGGGAACCCCACCCCAAAGCTCACGCACACTCCACCTCCAGGTACAACAGCTCCGGAGAACACAGCAAAAGCACGGTCTGGCTTCAGCCGCGCCTTTCGGGGTCTGTCAGGGCCGAATTAACCCGAGGACCAGGAGACCTTTCCCAAGGGGTGGCGAGAGAACTCCGCGGGCCTCTACAGCCCCGCTTAGGCCCCACGCCCGCGCGGAACTACAGCTCCCAGCACGCCCCGCGGCAGCAGAGGAGGTGGGGCCGTCCGTCTAACAGCTGTTTGATTGACGTGCGCGTCGACCACTCGGCGGGCGCGAGGCCGCAGCTCAGCCAATGGTAAGCGCGCGGGGGCGGGCGCTGCCGTGGGCCGCTGCCGGCCGGCTCTGAGGTGAGTGCGGCGGGCCGGGGGTTCGGCCGGTGGGGGGGAGGGGGGAGCGGTGCTTGCGGGTCCGTCCCTCCCGCTTGCCCGACGGTCCGGGGCGGCAGGTGAGGGAGGGGACGGGAGAGGAGGGGGAAGCGGAAGGGGAAGCAGCCGTTCCCGGCCGCAATGGGGGGAGCGGAGGAGATGCGGCCGTTGCTGCCGGTGCGCGGGGCTGGGCCGGCGCCGCCCCCGCTCCGGCCTGACGACGGTGCCCGAGCCCCTTCCCCGGGTGCGGCCCGGTCCGAGCGGCTCCCCCGCAGCCGCTGCCGAGAGCCGCGTGGCGGGGCCGCCGTGCTCGGCCCGGCCGGGCGCTCCGGGGCCGCTGCTGCCCTGCCCTGCCCGAGGTGCGGGCACGGCCGGGCTGTCGCCGCTCCTGCCCGGCAGGACGGCTCTGTTCTCCGCAGGAACGGCCGCGGCTCGGTGGATGTAGCTGCGTAAAGTTGTCGCTCTGCCCTCCCATTTTGTGTGACAGTAGGAGTGGGGGGAATGTTCCTCGCCTGCCTCAGCCCGCACCTGCACTTCATTACAGGATGTGGAAAGACAACTAATTTTTTTTTCTTTATTCTGTTTTTGGGATTATTGAAAGTGAGTTGTGGCGTCTCTCGGAGAAATTTGTGCAAGTAGGAGCACTGAGCTTTACTTCTGGCCAGTATCCATTTTTCTTGGCTGTGTCTGGAATAGGACATACGGCCGATGAAAAGGTTCAGTGTGTTGTTTTGTTCTGTGGGTGGGTTTGGGGGATTTCTTGGTTGGTTTTGGAACTGTTTTGGGTTTCTTAGGTTATTCATGAATATGTCATATTTGTCTGTAGGTGTAACTGCCTGCTTAAAGCAGGCAGACTGGTGTGTTTCTGTTTATAAACTGGTTATCTCTCATCTTTACTCTTTTTATGGTGCCTCTCACCAAGGTCTCTTAGTATGGGAACGTTTTACCTAATTTGGGTAACAGAGACTCAGTTCGTTTTTTCACTGTAGTTTGAGAAAATGAGAGCATCTTTAAAAGTACTGGAAATACAGGATAGGAAGGTTTGAAAGAGTGAAAAATTGGTGTTCTCCACGGTTAAAAAAAAAAATTGAGACTAGCACTTTGTGCCTGCTGGGTGCATCTTCTGAGGACAAAAATGTTGTTATGCAGATGCATCTTTGATACAGTGCTTCCTGTTGTTGGGGGTACAAAAAGACATCTGGAGTAGAAATGAGAAGCAAAGTCTTAAAGGCCTGGAAGGATTGTTTTGTCAGACCAAACTGTGATGAGAGCTTACTAACAGTCTATGTGAAAGTTCAGAGTTAAACACTAATCCAGTACGGGGTCTGAAAAATATAAAACTAAAACTTAAGGCATCATTCAGATATCCCATTTTGACAAATTCAACATATAATTGTCTTGTCAGCTGTGCCTTGCATATTCCCAATGTTTGGACTGGCATTATTAATTTATTTAAGTAGCTACTTTACTGTATTTGTCATGTTTAGGGTAAATACGAACTTAAGTTTTGTTTGTGTTAGTGAGACAGGGAAAATGTCTATCTCTTGCTTCAGACAATTTGCCTCCATTCACGTGGGAGACCAAGACTTCATTTTGAGAGTGGTGCAAGAAAAGTTTTCAGTATTCTAGAGAATGAATTGGTTTTGAGTGGTAATTCCAACGTGTTTAATTAGCTCAGCTTGAACTCAGTGAAAATGTTGATTTTTTTGTAGAGAGGAAAAAAAAAAGAGACTTAAATGATGAATAACAGCAGTTATCACTCCTAGTGTAAACATTGTTAATTTAAATAGCTTGACCTTTTCTGTCAAGTACAGAGAAAAGTTGGTACTTGTAGTCTTTGAAATGTTACTTGTTCTGAGATCAGCACTGTTTAGGAACAATAACTGCATGTGCAGAACTCTGCAGAGGACAGGAAGGGGAGTGGCCTTTTCTGGTACTGTACCGTCCTGCAGTGAAGCAGTAGAAAGTCTGTAAAAGTTAGAAGTATTTTTTGGCTTGATAAGTTTTTACACAAAGAAAAGTCTTTTTACCTCTTCAAAAGTCATAATTTTAGAATTTCAAATTGATGTCTGCATGTATTTTGCTAGAATCTCACAGATAACTGCAGCCAAAGCTGTGAGTGAGGTTACTGGATGTTTGTGGGTTGAAGAGGGGAGGTTGCTGCAGTAATTCCTTACATTAACAACTCCCGGGAGTCTTGGTGCTGGGTGGTTTCATAGTGACTGCTGGAAGAAGAGTGTTATAGGCTTTATATATATATATATATAGCCCATTAACTTGGGCTGTCCAGTCCTGTGTAACAAACTATGTTATTAAGTGGTCCTGCAGTTTTGAAATTTTTTAAGGAATCCTTCCAGATGAGTGTATCTCTTAGTGTGCGATGTGTATACCCTGTTCCTGTAAATTACTAAACATGATCTATGGTGTATTCAAGAAAAAGAATTCTGCTTTGTTTTCAAAATACTTAGGCAGCTGATGTTCAGTGAGGTTTCCCAAGTAAGCCAATAGCATGTGGACATCTATATGCCCGCAGAAAAGGTTTGCTCTTAAAAAGCAAAAATGTTACTGGATCATAAGACTCTTTCCATAGTCTTAATAAATTCCATCAGTCTGATTTTCTTAGTAAACAGGACTCTCCTGAGAGGAGCCATGTTGATATGATGAACCTATTGGTGATGATTTGAGGTGGTTTTACAGTGATGAGCTTCCCTGTGGCTGTCTATTCTCAATTCTTCAGAAGCAGCTTCTGAAGAGGCATTGAGCCTGAAGGAACATTTGTGCCTTTTATGTACTCTCTGCATTAATTATAAAGAAACCCAGTTGTCAGTGTTCTAAGATTCTGAAAACTAAACCACTTAAATAGCAAAGGTGTGCTCTGTCACTTGTATCAAAAGGTGGTTCTGTCCTCCACTGCAATGAAGGTTGATGTGAAATCCTCTGAGACATTTCACAGTAATCCTATGTTCACAAACATTGCAGTAATCCTGTAAATAATCTGGTTTTTTGTGTCTGGATAAAGAAGCGTCTGAGTATTTAAAGTGGATAGGAGGGTCTTAATATGTCTTATATTATGTGTTATTTCTATTTTCACCATAACTTTAAAATTCAGCGTGGTTGGTTGGTTGGCTTCATTTTTTCTTCTGCTCTTCTTTGGCATTTAAACCACTCACAGCCAAAGAGAATCTGTGCAAGTTTTTGTTTGGAGTCATCAGAGGTGTTCCCTGCAAGGTTTTTAACCCTCTCTAAATATACCATTGCACTGGGTTGTATTCAGTATTAAGTCTGAAAAGCACAAGTTGTGAAACTTTCTGGGTATTTTACATTCAAACCCTGCTGCCTGATGAATACAATAGGCTTATTTTTTTGCTGTCTTTCAGCACTGCAGATATGTCAATGTTGTTGTGCTGAAAGATTCTATTTAAAAACAGTTCAGACAACTTGTAATTTAAAATAAGCTTATATAAAGTTCATTTCTTTATATTTCTCAGATGTGTGCACTGACTAACCTTTCCCAGCTTTTTAATGTCCAGTTATTTTTTCCAATTCAATATCTGAGGAGAATCGAGGAAAACGTGTCTTGGCTTTCTTGATGAAATAAAACTTACAAATAATCTAATGGCCTAACTTCTTAATATACCTCGTGCGTTGCTCACTCTTGTTCATCCTCTTGCTGTGTGCAGGAAAGTGGTTTACCTAAGTAATTTTTCATTTCATTTGTAGCTGGTCAACGAAGATGGTAACTTGTCTTGAAGCAATTATTTTGAAAGAGCAGATACGTAAGGTTTAGGGATGGTTCTCTCCCTTGCCTCCATCCCTCATCATCTTCCCCTGGTCTCCTGAAAACTCCAAATCCATGAATAATAGTCATATGGAACTAGGAACTTGTATAGCACTAGAAAATGTGCTCACAAAACAGTCTCGCTGTTCTGGTTTTTTTCTTTGGTTGGGTTTTTGTACGATTGCAGCATTTGTCATGGTCTGGTTTTAAAGTTCTTGTCTCCTATCCCAGAAACTCAGTAAAGTGAGTAAAATAGGATCTTCCCAAGAATGTTGATAAGGCTCAAAGAGAAGCTTTCGTTCTTAGCAAGTGAAATGAAATCTAGGCCTTAAGAGCAGTGGGATGAAGTGTTAAAAAGAGAATTCTCATTACCTGGACACAAAATGTTAAGGAAATGATTGCATAGGTGAGTCCTGCATTGAGGAAGCAAGAGACTGAAGTCAGTCTACCTTCTCTGGTAGCCTGAGTCTTCAACATCCCAGGTGACAACATAAGGCTATTTCTTATCTACCAGAAAAGTTGAACATGTCAGTTTAGATTTCTAAAAGCATCTTGGGAGAGGGTGTTACACATAATAGTTCTGAAAATGAGATCTGTTGTGCCCATGGACTCACTTAGCATTAAGTCTGGCATATATAGTTCAACTGGGGGGGAAAAAAGGCATATTGACTTTCATTTTGGCTTTTGTGCTGGTTTTAAAATGAAAAAAATGTAAGAAATTTGATGAGTGGTATATTGTGTTACTTGAAACTACATAAATATATCTTTGGGCTTTGTTATAAGTACCAAATTGAGTGCAAGCATTTTTATCAAGCATGTTTTGTTTTAATAATGTCACAGTTCAGTGTTAACAGCTCTCTTAAAGTGATTTAAGAAATGGAGTAAGTTGAAGCGGAAAAAGATCAGTCAGGTTTCCTTTAATTGAAGGCTAGGATTGACTACCAGTGCTGTTCCATCCCACTGTGTGTTCACATGTTTCCCCATCTGGGAGTGGGCTACAGAGTCTGTGCTGGTGTTTGTGGCAAAAATCAGTCAGCTCTGAAGACAGTTCAACAGTTCTTGTTTGACATGGTGTCCTGGTTTTGGACAAATTTAAGAGGAAACGTCCTGAAAGGGTGTCTC